CCAACTGGAAGACCACTGAATCTAGGGCCATGAGCTACAAATGCTGATCTGTAGACTGGATGCATCAGAATTACCCAGGGAGCTTTTCTAAACAGTACAGGTAGATCCTATCCCCGGTGGCAGTGCACAGCCAGGTGTGGGGATCAGTAACTAGAGTTTTCCAAGAGTGTTCTGTGAGTAAAAGTCTGATACTCCCTCAAAATACATTCCACTCTCAAATTAGTTTGGGAAGCACTGCACACTGTATCACTTCAGAGATTTATAGTGAACCTGATCGTATTGGGTTGGCTAAGAAGTCCACATGGATTTTTCTGTAAAATTAAAGGCACATTTTTCATTTTTACCAATAACTTTATCAGTTTGGATATTTTAGGTGTGTTGACTATCTCCTGCATGATATGTTGATTGCTCTCAATTAATGTCTTGATTTGATCACTATCAACTTCAACCAGTCCACCCAACTGTGGAGCATTGTCCACTGAGGTATGTCCAGCACAAAACTTTGCAAACTGCTTTTGACACAGTCAATCACAGCACCTTCTCCATACACTGCATACATCTTTTTTTTTTACCTTTCTTGAAATAGTAAAGCATAATACAAGTATGCCAAAAATGTTGTATATTTTTCATCTCCAGTATTAAAATGGATACACAAAAATTCACCAATTTTGATTTTTTTAATGCACATTGATATGACAGCTGCCACAATACAATCTAACAGAACTGTTTTTGAATAAAGTTAATGACAACTAAGTGCTACTAGAGCCATGTTACGGAAAAAACCCTTTTAAGTCTTTGGCCAACCCAATAGTATAGGATTTTGGAAGTCCTACAGTAAAGAAGCCAGCTTACCCTAGGATTTCCCAAATTTAAATGATATGTCGCTTTGGAATCTACTTTTTGCACTAATACAGGATCAAGATTTTCCTGGGATATGGTTGCAGGAGTGTCCAACCTTTTGGCATCTCTGGGCCACCCTGGAAGCAGAAGAGTTGTGTTGGACCACATTAAACACATAAGCACTAACGAAAACTGATGAGCCACAAAGGTGTTAAGTAAATTTACAGTTTTGTGTTAGGCCACATTCATAGCCATCCTGGGCCCCATGTGGCCCATGGGCTGCTTGTTTTTAACAGGGGCTTAGTAAGGGGAGCTCCTGAACTTTGTCTCTGTGAATGGGGGAGAGTGTAAGATACATGTTTATCAGAGTATGGTTTCATTAAGACTGAGAAACACTGATCCCGAAAAACTGATGTTTATTTAAGTGCCTACTGTATACCAGGCACTGAGGTGGGTTCTTTAACTATGTGGATTTGTTAAATTCTCACAACAACTCCACAAGGGAATTACTTAAAGACAAGAAAATGAAGCTTTGGAAGACCCCCTCACAACTGTGACTACTGTGAAGTCTAGTTCTTTAACTCATGCTTGGTTGCAGAAAAAGGAAAGTGAGACATGGAGTCAGTAGAAGGGTGGACTAGTGGTAGTTGCTGTTAAAACTCACATTTTCCAGAAAGGCATTGATTGTAGAAGTAATATTCTAGGCATTTAATTAATTTTATAGTGCTTTCATTTCTGAGGATTTTCAAACTGAGCATTCTCCCATGGGTTTTTGATAGTTGCTATCACAAAAAGCCAGGGTATTGCTCTATTTAAATTTCTAGGATTTTATATAAACTTGTTAGCACTGTTTTCAGCATCTAAATCAATGATCAGTTCTGTGGTTACAGTTACCACTGTTTGTTTAAAATTAACCTTAACTGACCAGCAAGCTGACCATGGGTCATAAATTAAGGAAAAAGGAAAACTTTCCAAGATTATTATGGGTATCCTTGCAACTTCTAAAACAAAAATATATACAAATGATGTATTATATAGAATTGTGTACTCGAAACTTATATAATTGTATTAACCAATGTCACTCAAATAAGTTTTTTAAAAATAGGAAAAAAAACCAACAAAACAAGAGCCAAAAAATACACTCAATTCATAGACTATACCTTAAATTAGTAACTAGAGTTGCTTCTGAGGAGGGGCCAGGAAGACAAACAGTTTGTTCTTTCATCATGTCTATCTGTGACTTACCAAAAAAGTTAACTATTATAAAAAACAAAAATACCACAAACACATAATTTTATATTCTGTGTGGAATGCCATGTTCCAGGTTGTTTTACCATTTAGTTGCTCACTCTTGGAGGAGAATGGCTTACATCCCACGAAAATCAGAGCTTAGGGGCTGGAGTGAGATCCTGAGAGTGGGGAAGTGGAAGTCTCTCAAAAGCATTTATTTATCCTAAAGCCCAGGGCCTCCAGATTCATCCCTTTCTCTGCTTTTTCTCTTCTTCTAAGCTCTCCCATCCTCCTATGTTCTCCTTTATCCAAAGCAGTTCATTTTCTGTCACCAGTCTTTGTCCTAAAATAGTTCCTCAGATTTTCTGTCCCCACTCGCCAAGTCATTACAGCCCCCCACCCCCAAGCCCTGTTCAGCCCATCATGGCTCAGAGCTGGGTTTCCATTCATTGTCTTCCCTGAGATTAATATTGAAGGCCAGTGTGAGAAATGACCATGTAACGAGGTTCTCAACACCTTCTGAACAACTGTGAAGCTCTTATACATTATATTATGTAGTGTTCCTCATGGAAAAGAGCCACATAATAAAAGTTCTTTAGAATTCAGTTTCAGGTATAAAAATACTTATTAAAACAGGTTAATATTATACTAATATGGTAACATATTGTTATGGAAGTTTTCCAGAATTAACATATTATATATACGGTAATGGGGTAGGTTTCTTCTCTTTGCAACAAAAAAGGATTTTTCTCATTAATGTTCAAAAAGGTTTAATCCTCAATTATATTTTTCTTGTTTATACTTTGGAAGTTGTATTAAATACATTGGTGTCCCCTATGGTTTTTCTTAAAGCGGTAGTAAACATGATTTTTAAAAATTTTCCAGGATTATTGACTTTCGATCTCTGCATATTTGCATTTCAGAAGCTCAGATTGCATTGTAACCTATTCCACAGTTCAGATCTAGGTACTCTAGGTGATTACTATCAATGGGTACTGCCAGGAGTCCCCAAAGTTTTTGTGTGAGTTTTGTCATTACTAAATACCAATTTGCTGTAGAAAATTTAAGTTGCAGATAGATAAAAATATCATCTATGATTCCACCAATCATTATTAGCATTTTGGCTTTCCAAATATGACTTGCCAAATATTTTTCTGTGTCATCGGAAAGAGAACAGAGTGACACACACCCAGAACCCAGAACCAATTGTACTTGTGAGAGACTGCCAGAAAGCTGGGGAAGTAGGAGCCAGGCAGAATAAATCAAATCAATAAAAGTACTTTTTCCATTGGTAGAGGTTCACTTGTAAAATAATTCAGAACCGCTTTATATCATTTCATTTAATTTTTAAAATCAAAATTAAATATGAAGTATATATTGAGAAGTCATGTCCACCACTAGCTCACCCTGTTCCTTCCCCTGATTTCCAATGTCAAAAAGTTTTTTCTTTAAGCCACTTTATTGATGTGTGATGGACACGTAGAAAGCTGTGCACGTTTAACATAGACAGCTTGACGAGTTGGGGGTAAGTGTGTGCTCCGTGAACCCATCCCTACCATCCCGGCAGTGAACATGCCTGTCACCTCCCAGAGCTTTCTCCCATTGTTGTTGTTAGGTGAGAACATTTAACATAATATCCATGTCTTAGTAAATTTTTAACATACAATATAATATTGTTAACTGTAGGTACAATGCTGTATACTACATATCCAGAACTTTCCTTGAATAACTGATATTGCACCCTTTAACCCTTAGTTTCTTGGGTTGGAAAAAAGCACATATATTTCCCTCTTAGACAGAAGGCAGCATGTTATATACATTCTTGCAGATCTTTCTATTTTCACTTACTATCCTGCCCTGGGGATCTTCCATATGAAAATGCAGAAAGCTTTGTCTTTTTTTTAATAGATCATAGTATTCAGTGCTGTGGATACACCATGGTTTACTCAGTCACCTGCAAACCACCTTTTGCCATCGTAAACACTGCCAGTGAATACGCATGTGCGTGCAGCACCTCATGCGTGTGTGACTGCAACTTTAATTTTCCAGGATTAAAACTGCAGAGACGGAATCTTGACAGAAACTGTCCAATTGTCCTTTGTAAAGATTACACTGTCAGTCATTTCCATCAGCATGTAACACCACACCCTCATAACTATGTATTTGAAAAATTTTGTGTGGTTTTTTAAAAGCTATCTCCACTCCAATGATGCCAGCTTATTAGAGCCCATGTTTTCTGAGCTCAAACAAACTGTTTAATGTATTAATTTGAAATCAGTATAATCAACTCTTGATTACTCACTAACACAGAAAGGAGCCATGGCACAGATACGCACAATAGCAGAGAACTCCACAGTCATTCAATTCAACTTTGAAACGCATTGTAACTTTTTCTCCATTACACTCTTTTTTTCTAATGACGTCTACATTGGGAACCATTGATGTACAATTTTTAGCACAAACTGTCTATGGTGGAAGAAGAAGGCCAAGAATTAGAAAAAAGTTGTGTAGTATTAAATATTTTTCCACTTTTCCCTTGGGATTGTGGATGATATTAATTTGTTCTTTTTGATATTTATATCTATATTTTTAATGTTCAATGTGTTCAGGTCACTTGTATTAAAAATTGGTTTGTACTTGCTATTAAAAGGCCCAAAACAAGGGTGATAATTCATTATTTTCAGCCAGAGAAGTATAAACCCCTAAGGGAAACTATGTCATTTTAAGTAGCACTAGTTAATCAATTAATAAACATTTTAATGACATTAGTTCCCACATATTTAAACTGATCTTTGCCACATTGTCACTGAGTGGAGAGGCCATGTGTGAGTAATGGAGCATCTACGAGTCTGTGCCGGCCTCAGCACAGGCCTCTGAGGGGCGGGGAAGCTGCACAGAGATGTCTGATTCAGCCTTTCTTTCCCTTGCAGCATCTTCCTCAAGGAGCTGGAGAAGTACGAGCAGCTGCCTGAGGACGTGGGACACTGCTTTGTTACCTGGGTAACCGACCCGAAATCCTGTTTCTCCCATAGTCCCAGTGCTTTCCTGGAGGGCAGATGAGATGGCATCACTTTTTGGTGCCTGACCTGAGAACTGGTGTCACTGACACTCTGACATAGGACCAGGTTCTATAGAAAAGGGCCAGGAGTAGACCTGAGAGAGGCAGTCCCTCCCTGAGGAGCGGTGCCCTCCTTGGGAAAAGTCCCAGACTTGTGTCCAAGTGCCACGTTAAGTTTTCTAAGCACTTTCCAAAATCAAAGTGTCAGCAGACTGAAACAAGACCACCACCCTTGATAGAGAAATACTCTAGCTCCATCCACTATTTTTGTTGTTTTTGATTAGGTTTTTTTGTTTGTTTTTTAACTGGATGAGGATTAAGGAATTAGAACTTTGGGAATACATCAAACCACCAACTTGTTGGTTACATGTTCTTCCTTAATAGAGAACACACTCTTCAGGTGTCCATCCTAATTCTAACCTACAAAATACTGTCCAGTCATTTTCTTTCTAGGTGTTATTGTCATGGGCCAAGTAAGTGGGCTGAATGTACCAGATTCTAATTATGCACATGGAAATGTTAGTCTCCATTAGCATCTCCACATCACATTATTCTGAGCCAAGGTTTGTGATATGAGTGCAAAGGTCTCCAGAGAAGGTGGAGTAAAACACTAGGTGCAACTCAACATGGAAATTCTTCCCCCTGGGGCAGGAGATCTAATATTTAATAATTATTTTCTAATTATAACTTCTGCTCAAAATGGGTAAATTACTTTCAAAACATCTTCACAAGTCAGGGGTTAGTGCTCTAAATGGCCTTATGGAATAGACAGGGCTGTGGTCACGTTTTGTGTTTACAGATGGACACATTTCAGACAAGCTGGGGGACTAACTACTCTATGACATGCATCCCAGTCAGCTTCACAGTTCAGGACCTGAGTCGCTCCCTTTTCCTGAAACATTCACACGTGCTTCCTGGCATTCTCTCAGGTCTTAAGGAAGCCTCAGACTGCTGTCTTATCTTGTGCTGATACGTTTTTTATCTCTAAATACGTAAGGATGTGCACACTTCATGTTAATGCTGATAAACAACATATGATTCCTTACACGTCTGCGCTGTAGAAGAAAAAAAGATAAACCATTAAGTGAAGGGATTTTTAAAATCTTGTTTCATACAATTTGTGAATTGCCTTGCAATCGACCATAAGTATGATTTAACAACATCTCTTAGGGATGCTGAATGCCTCCCAGGTAGTACATAAATCCAGAAATTGGCTTCAGAAAAATCTTGGTGATTGCATAAAATATGCACGTTTTGCCAAGAATTATCCCAAGATGATTTTAAGTCTTATAACCTTAACCTATGAGTGTAGTGCAGAAATAAATGGTAGAAAGACTATGACCAAGAAGCCTGAAGTCGGCTTCCCAGGACTCTACCACTGTTCAACAGTGTTCACATCTGTGCAGTGGGGATGATGATAACCAAGCTCACTACACAGGGTTCTTGTGAGGATCCGACAGGTTAATATACATAAAGCACTTAGAAGAGTGCTGGCACAAATGAAACCTGCCACGTAAACAGCGCACATCTAGGCTGCTCCCTCAGATGAGGACGCCCCAAATGCTTTATAGGCACCAAGGTGGGCAGTGGTTTACAAATGGGGAAAGTACTTAGTGGACAAGATACACATAGCTTTCCCGGTGGAAAGGGTGTGTGGCACCAACCAGAGGGTCCTGAAGAAATGAGAAATGAATTTTCACCAAGCCATAAGGTTCTTGACTTAAAGTAACAAGTTGGTTAGCACTCATTGTTCAGGCCCTGCCCCAGAGGGTCCCGTACTTTCCTGTCCCCCCATCAGTGCTTCTGAGAGGTTGGGGATGATGTCATAGTCCCTGGACACGCCCTACAAGCTGCCCCTAATGCAGATACTTGGAGTCTAAGCAGCCCTAGCTCTGAGACTGTACTTCTTTTTCATTCCTTGGTTTTTGCTTTCAGAGCAAATGCTGTCACTTTTCAAGATGAGATACACAATAGTAGGTAATCCAAACAAGGGGATAACATCTAAATAAATTCTGTCCAACTTCAGAATACATTATGATATGTGAATTGGTTTGGCTAATTCTTTTCAGCACAGACTAGTTTCAAAATAAGCTTCCTTTCAGGAAGCTTTCTGGTGCTGTTAGGAGAAAAGCATCGCAAAGTTTGGCTGGGAGCACGCACCAGATAAGCCCAGAACACTTGCCACGGGCAGTCCCGTGGCACACCGTGTCTGAGCGTCTCGCTGCACAGCCCTCGCTGGACCCTGTAGGCACGGTCAGCAGAAGGGAGCCACTAATGGATGCTTATCTGTTATTGTCTTTGTTCTTTTTAGGCAGATAAATTTCAGATGTATGTCACCTACTGTAAAAACAAACCCGATTCCAACCAGCTGATTCTGGAGCATGCAGGCACCTTCTTTGATGTAAGCTGTGATTTTCCATTCTTGAGCCATTGAAGTTCGGGGAAATGCTTCACTACTTTGGGATAATGGGTTACTATCTTTTGTTCCTTTCTTATCTTTACTGGCCATTCCAAACCTCTATCTCATGGATAAAGCGTGGAGGAAAACCAAAGTAGTGTGTGTCTTCTGTCTTACTCCATCCCATCTCAAGTGCTGTTATTTTGGACAAAGCATGTTTGCCTCCATGCCTCCACTCCACACCAGGCTAGCCATGAGTCTGGTGTGTATAGGAGCCCACCGTGATGCAGGTGCTCATTAAGATGTTGCAGTTCTATTTCATAGTCAGCTCCCTCAAATTTGGGGGTTCTCAAAGTATGGTCCTCACTGGAGAACTTGTTAGACAGGCGTATTTTGGATGCTACTGAATCAGAATCTCCAGGCCAGAGCCTGACAGTGTGGGTTTTAAGGAGCCCTCCAGGGGACTCTGCTGCCTACTCAAGTTTGAGAACCACCACTCTAATGCAATCGTGTCAACCTTGGCTACCATTGGAATCACCTGGGGGGCTTTGACAACTGCTGATTCTGGGTCCTGCCCCTGAGATTCTGTTTTGATTGGCCTGGGTTAGGGCTGGGCCTTGAGAGTTTTAAAAGTTTCTGGGTTGCGCACTGGTGCAGTAATGGAAGCCAGGAGGAGAGTCAGAGCTGATGGATCTCGTCAGATCTTTTAGTTTTGAATGAGGATCCAATCCTGATGGTGAATGATGGTGTACGTCTGTAAGTTCTGGTCCCCAGAGAGTGACCTAAAGTGGAGAGAATCAAGGGGGTCACTGCAGGATCCAAGGGAAGAACAAGAAAAGGGAGAGAAGAAACGAGGAGGCAGGAAGGAGATGCAGTGAGAGAGAGCCTGTAACAGCGATGCCCATTCCGGTAGACAGATCCAAAGTGACAAAAGCTTGAGGTTCACCATGTCTATCAGTCTGTCTTTCTGCCTACCTGCTTCCATTCCTTCCATGAATATTTTGAATGTCTTCTGGACGCAAGACAGTGTGGCAGGCTCTCTGGGGAATACAGACATTTAAGTTTACAGTTTACAAAATAAACCTTCTGAGCCTCTTTCTAGCCTGACACTGCCATAACAGAGATAATTCCCCAGGGATCCTATTGCTCAGTGAAGCAATCACACTTGCATGGGAGAAAACCAGGCGAGAAAAACCATATGATTTGTTAATCGAGCATTAATATGAAAATGGTTATAAGATCCGAAGCTGGAATTTATGAAGTTAGATATGATAAAACAGAAAATCCAAGTAAAGGGCTACTTTAACTTGTTATCGGAGTTTATGGAATGTTTTGTCCATTATCTTTGCTCAATAATGTATTTCTCTTAAGGTGTTTCTGAATGACTGTTCATCAACAGTATCTAGAAGGGTCTTTTTAAAGTTTTAAATGCACCTTGTTCTGTCTTTGACTTTGCATTTTTCCAAACATACGTGCCCTGTGCTCTGAGCAAGCCTTGGACCAGCGGTCCCCAACCTTTTTGGCACCAGGGACTGGTTTCATGGAAGACAGTTTTTCCATGGAGCGGGAGTGGGTAGTGGGGATGGTTTGGGGATGATTCAAGCACATTATATTCAAGTTCACCTCCTGCTGTGTGGCCCCTTGGTTCCTAACAGGCACTGACCAGTACCTGTCTGTGGCCTGGGGGTTGGGGACCACTGCCTTAGACCATACTGCTTACTGATCTTTGCTCACCCTGCTCTCTCTGCCTAAAATGGCTTGCGATGCCCTCTATCACACATGCACACACTCAAACACGTACAAAGTCACTCTTAGGAACTCTTCCTTTACTTTAAAGGTGCAGTGCTGCTTTCTGGGTGGATCCTTCCCTTTCTCTATGCGTACATTATTGCTCTTCGCATTACTCTCAGCATTTGTAATGATTTACCTTTTGGCAGGTTAACATTGTACCTTTCTGTTACACCTCCCGCCTTGAGGTTGGCTAATGAATTATGTACACATCACAATATCTGGTGTTAAACCGCATTTTCCTTTAGTCCCACATTCCTCATATTCCTGTTTCTAGCCAATTTCTGGACTTTGAGAGGTCAGATAGACTCCACATTTTGCACCCTACCCTCCATTTCCAAAGCAGTGCCTAACTAGCCTCCGCATTAGTTGGGAAGGCCCACGGAAGGGGTTCCTAGAGCTTATCCTGGAGGTGGGGGGCAGTTAACTTTCCTGATCGTTCCCAAAGCTTTCCAGGAAGCATAATTTTTGCAAGTTTTTTCCACCCATCAGAAGGGTTTTCCTAAATTCTGCACTTAGGAACTCTCTGCTTTAGACCCTCATTCTATAAAAGAGATAAGCCCTTAATAAAGGCAGCCCCTTATCACCCATTCTTATAAAGAGAACACAGAAAAATGAAGGCCTGGAAAGTCTCACACATTAACATGATCCAGACTTTTCTACTCCAGATACAAAAACTGTGAGGCAGTGATGCCTGATGTCACATTGACCACTAAGCGTGGTTCTCTGGCCCAGCCACTGGAGGCAGCCCCCTTCCTCACCGCCCCACAGGCTGCCTTTCCCCCTGCTGGCGTCTTGTCAGAGGGGAGGACTGTCACAGGTCCATTATTGCATGTGCTGTCTTGCCAAAGCCCCCAAATAAACTCACAGTGTTTACTCTGCCGAAGAGAGTCAAGCTGCCAGCTGTCTTGCCCGTCATCCTTGAATGAGTCCTGCCACAAATACACACCTCTAGGGAAGAGACAAGTGAGTGAGAAAATTGCTACTTTCTAGGATAATTGGCAGGAAACAGAGTAATTTTTGTTATTATTCCCTTTTTTTTACCCTTCTCCATAGCCACATAGCAAGTCCTAAGTTGTCTGACTTCAAACGTTTCTTTTTATTTCTCCTAATGCTTGGTCTTCACTAGTCTTGGCTTAGGCTCACCTGTTAAACACGTGTGTGTGTGTGTGTGTGTGTGTGTGTGTGTGTGTGTGTACTCACAGACCTGTGCAACTACCCCACAGTCAATGTTAATGTTAGAATGGTTTTATCATCTCATAAAGCAACCCTGCCCTCTTTAGCTACCACCCCCAACCTTATCCTCCCCCTGACTCCCCAGCCTTAAGCAACCAATGATCTCTCTTCTCTTGTGTAAATTTGCCTATTCTGGACATTTTATAAAAGTGGAATCATGTAATGTGTGTTCTGTTGTGACTGACTTGATTTTTCACATAGTGTGATATTGGAGTATGTCCCGGTACTTCATTTCTTTTTATGGCCAAATAGTATTTTATTGTACAGATATATCACATTCTGTTTTTCTATTCATCAGTTGATGGACATTTGAATTGTGTCCACCTTCTCCATGTTATTACTAATACTACTATTAATAATACTGCTATAAACATCGTATGCAAGTCTTCGTGTGGACATATGTTTTCATTTCTCTTGGGTATGCAGGGTGTGGCAAAAGTAGGTTAAGTTATTTGTATGGAAAATAACACAGTAATTAACAAATAATAACACAAGAATAAAGCATTTCAAGTACTCATAACTTTAAACCTACTTTTGCCCCACCCTGTTTTCCTAGGAGTAGAGTTGCTGGATCATATGGTAAAACTCTATGTCTACATTTAGCCTTTTGCAATAACCTCTGAATCAGTCTGTTTGCCTCTGTTTTCCAACCCCTATGTTGCTGTTAGATTTAAATTACTCTTCCCGAAACATTGCTTTTATTGAGTTTTCCTTCCATTAAATATCTACAATCCTTGACATTGAGAAATTCACCAACAAACCCTAATTCTTCATTCTAGCTCAACCTTAGCAATCACCTAAAAGCATCTCGCTTCTCTAACTGTATTTTTCACTTTTTCTAGAATCTAGGTGTGCAGCCTCTGTACCTCTCAGGCATGGTCCTCATTATCATCTAAATATATAATGATTATTTCCTGTGTATTTTGCTCTATATGGTTTCCCTCTATAGGGAACTATTCTCCCAGCTTCCCACTTCACCACCCCAACCAACCCTCTAAGCCCCAGCCGAAGGCTTCATGTCTGTAAAACCACTCATGGGGCCAGTGACCCTTCTCTGGTCTTCCTGGCTATAACCAATGAGAACGCTTACTGTTATCCTTCATTGCTGCCTATTTCATGTGTATGAGTATTATCAGCTAGCTAGAATGTAAGATTCTTGAGGGAAGAGACTAAAGTTTATTCTCCCCTAACTGTCATTACACCTAGACCTTGGGGGATGGAAGATCACTTTGGAGGCAGGTTAGAGAGTGGACTAAAATGAGAGACTAGAGGCCCAAACAGCAGTTGGAGGCCACGGTCATAGCCTGGGTGTGAATGATATGGACGGTGTGGGTGAAAATGGACAGAAAAGACTCGTCTTCCCCAGTTGTCAGGGGCAACAGAAGGAAAACAACTGAAAATGACTGCGTGGTTTCCAACTCAGCAGACCTGAAGGATGAAGGAGGTATCCTTGATCACAATGAAAAAGTTGTAAGGAGGAAGTGGTGATTCTCAGTCAGGATGCATTAAATTTAAAGAGAAGAGAATGGGAAATGAGATGTATCCTTGTGCAGTTTTAAGAAGGAGGCCGCAGGCAGATAAATACGCAGGGGCCATCAATAGAAATCAGAGCCTCACTCTCTGCCTTCCCTTATTCTCATCTCCCCTTTTATCCCCCTTTAGTTTCCTCCATTGGGTTTATTTCCTTTCACTTCTTCTTCTTCACCTCTCCTTTACCTTCCTGTCCAATATTTACCTTATCACTTTCTTTTTCCACCTTTGTCTTTCTCTGTTTCTCCTTAATTTCTGTTTCTGTTTCACAAATCTGCTTTGTTTCCCTGAAGCTCCTCCCCTTTCACTATCTCTCCATTTTCTTTCTATTGATTATTTACATATGCACCTTAGTCTTTCATATGTCTCTTCTGCTTCCCTCTCCCCATCAAAGAACAGTTTCTCATAATCACCTTTTTTCTTTTGTCCTCTCTTCTTACCCCACCTGCCTCCTCCCAGAACACACAGGGTATGCCTGCTCCTCCATGTCTAACGGTGCCGTTTTCATCCCGTAGGAGATACAGCAGCGGCACGGTCTGGCCAACTCCATCTCTTCCTACCTAATTAAGCCCGTCCAGAGGATCACCAAGTACCAGCTGCTCCTGAAGGTACCTTCCCTCCCCTCCGTGTCACCCCCTACCACCCGAGTGCCCAGGCCCAGGGAGTCCCAGCTTTGTCTGAGGGTGGAAAAGCTTCCACCTGAAGACCTTTCCTCTACATAGAGCATAGCTTCAGAGAGGAGCCTGTGCTGGCATTGCTGGCTCCAGACTGCATGTCCTGTCCTGTGAAATTCCAGGTCTCATTCACTGGGAGCAGGAGCAGGTTCTGACTACTTTCACACCTGCCCACCTCTGTATAGCTTTTAGCAATTGCTACCCCAGGCACTGGCTCGTACATAGAGCCTCTCCTGTCCTTCCCTCCTAGAGAAGATCCCCCTGGTGGCCACTGCTTCTGATAGGATCAAAGGTCAAGGCCTATGGGCGCTGCCAGTCTGCGTGGGCACTGGAGTCCAGAGCAGTACTTGCCATTGTCTTAATCTCTATGTTTGTCAAGGCTGTGAGGCTTTTTGGAGGAAATACTTGAAGGCTGCATATTAAAACACAACGATACTCTTATGTCTGTAGGAGCTCATCTTTTAGAGGTTCTGGAGCCAACCAAGAGATTTGGATTTTTCTAAAATCTTTTCTTTAAAAGTTAAATAATAAAATTATGTAAAATACTAAGTAATTTGGGCTGATTCTTCTCAGAGGAGAATATACTGACAGTCTGAAAATATGACATTTCCCCACAAAAAGCCCAGGAAATTGATATTATAAACAATTATATAACCTGTCTATCTTAATTCTCTTTTTAAAGATTTTATTTATTTATTTTTAGATAGAGGGGAAGAGAGGGAGAGAAACATCAATGTGTGTTTGCTTCTCACACACCCCCTACTGGGGACCTGGCCTGCAACCCAGGCATGTACCCTGACTGGGATTTGAACTGGCAATCCTTTGGTTTGCAGGCTGGCACTTGCAGAATATCACATATTCTAGCTTCACAAAATCTGAAAACCAGTGTAGTTTCGTATCTAGATTTCCAGTCATGTTAGAGAGTGTACCCATCGTTAGGTCCATGAGGTCCCTGGCTTAGCACTTGTGGTGGTTCTGGGATGAGTGCAGAGGGGGCAGCAGTGAACCTGTGCCCTGAACCTCGTTTACCCCTCTGGGTCAGGGCAGGACCCTGTTCCACCCTTTCCCTTCAGCCTCCTCCTTCACACCTCCTTTCTGTCTCCACGAAGAGACCATGGGCTCTTGCTCCCAGGCACTCAAGTTGTCCAACTGCAGAAATGACTTAGAGAACTACAACGTGGTGTCGTGCCCGCAGCCTTTACTGAGGGCTAGTGTGAGAAATAACAAAGTGCAGGACACCTTGGCTGTTCTGGCAGAAGCACTTTTGAAGATGTCCTCTTTGTTACGGGGTTTCTTATGTAAAGACCCAGAACTTCTCACAAGATCTCCACGTGGGGCATTGGGGGTGGGGGGGATGTGTGTGCTGAAAAATCGGTGTCCGAAATCACAGGAGCTTTAGGTCCTCCTTTACCTGTGACTGTCAGCATCGAGTTCGGTTACGTACAGCAGTTTCTCCTTAGCCCAGATCTGTACAGTCTAATTATCCTCCCCCTTCCCTATCCCACAGCATGCTTGACCCTTCTAAATGATTTTTCTTATGCCAAACAATTTTTTAATTTACTTTTGTCTGTTTTTAAAGTATCCCCAAGGCTTTTCAGGAATTGGGGGTAGGGGTAGGAGCCAGCTCACCCACTCGCACTGACAGTGCCTTACATTCATTAAGATGCAGTTCTCAGAGAAGGACAGCTGTTCACCTCTCCCTTTAAAACCCAAAAGGCTGAGGTTCCGAGGATTAATTCTGTGAGACAGACAAGGGAGGAAAGTGGAGAAAGGATGGGCCGCCCCCTGTTTGCTTTAGGCAGGTGGAGGGGTGGGCCCTGGGCCTCCATTCTGTGTTGAATGTTTTAGGGAGATGTGACTGTGTGGAACTGACAAAGGCAAAAATTAAGTAGTGGGAATTTGGTTGTGAAGAAATGATAGGGCTATTGAAAAAAACACAAGGTAATTTTGGCCTCTTTTAAATGTGCTAGTGGCAGAGTGCCTGCTGAGTAAAAGAAAAGAGTTTGCTGGGCTTTAACTATAAATAAATAATATGGAATTCATTTTCTCATTCAAGTCCATTTTATCCCAAGTCAATTGATATTTAATTACAAGTATTCTCTGGGATTGCTCACCGTAGATGTTATACGACAGCAAAAACTTCCTTTTGCAGTGTATATTAAATGTGAGGCCTTCTCTTTATCGTAAACTATAGCCGGAATCCAAATAGAGGTTATTGGCTTTGCTGGTTGATGAACAGACTTGCCAGATTGCCTTGGGGGTTCAACTAACTGGCGTTTTCTGTTGTAAATGGAAGCACATTTCTTATTTTTCTCTTATGTTTCTGCCTAGAAGTTCTGTTGATGATGTATGAAAACAAGGGCTGAGAGGGTTAGAATTAGGAAAGTGGTGAGGGAAATCAGAGTTCAGGTTGGCAGAAGGATATGCAACCTTCTCAACAACGATTGAGATTATACTGCCTGGTACCAAGGACAGAGCTGGGGGCTGAGCACTCCTACCTCATGTGCTTTGGGCAGTTCACCTGTTCCATGGACACGCAAAGCTCCCTTCTTCATGTGGAACGTATCCAAGATAATACAAAAGGTTGGATTTTCATACCAGATTCTCACTAATCAGCTATCCTACCAAGTATAAAGCTTTGCTAATACAGTCATGTATGGCCTAATGACATTTCAACCAGCTATAGACTGCAATACGACTATGATCCCATAAGATTATAATGGAGCTGAAATGATTTCTGTGGCCTAGTGATGCTGTGGCCATCATAATGCTGTAGCGCAACCTATTACTCATGTGTTGAAGTGATGCTGGTCTGAACAAACCTACTGTGCTGTATAAGAAGGGTAGCACACACAACTATGTGCAGTACATAATACTTGATAATGATAAAAACGACTACTACCACTTATATATTTACTATTCTTTCACTATTTTAGAGTGTACTCTTTCTACTTATTAAAAAATGTCTGCTATAAAACAGTATGCCGCATTACACTGGCAGCAGCCTCATATACTTCATGTTTACCTCATCTCTTGATGGCTACATTTTTTTGTGCACTTGATTTAGTCTCACATTGTTTATATAGTAACGTGCTGCACAAGCTTGTAGCCAAGGAGCAATAGTTTATACCATATAGCGTTGGTATGTAGTAGGCTATTCCATCTAGGTTTCTGTAAGTGCATTCTGTGATGCTCACACAATGGCGAAATCAACTGATGACACATTTCTCAGAACGTATCTCCATTGTTAAATGGTGCACGGCTGTAATTCCAAAGATGCAAATAATCTTAAGGCAAAGGTAAAACAGAGAGAAGTCCAGGACTGCCAACACCTTCAAGTTCTTTCTTGTGGCATCAGGATAGGCTGTGGCCCTGGTTAACATACAAGATTTCTAAAATACTTGTTGCATCATATCACCTACCCTGAAGAGAGCCATTGTGGTCATGAAGTTACTTTTTTCTTAGTTGCATAGCTTATGTGATACCTTCCAAGGAGCCATGCCCAAAAAGCCCCAGATTCTAGGTATGTTTACCATAAGTCCTGGATAGATAGGTCAGATATATTCCACCAAAAGCATTCCACAGCAAGTATCATTAGTTTATTTGCTAGAAGGTCTGTCATTGACTTGTTTACAAGGTTTGATCTGGTCAATTTCTTTCTTTCCTGGAAGTACATCCCCACACATCCACCCATTTCCTGCCTCCCCTTCCCCCTAAACAAACCCCCCAAGGGGAGAGTATGAAGTGCAGATCTGTTGCTTAACTGTTTCCTTCCCCGTGTCAAAGTGAGCAAGATACAATAACCCTGGTAAGAAAAATGAAAGGCAGCATTCTTCTGATATGGCCAAAATCATCAAAATGATCTTTATGATTCCTCAGATAGTTGCAAATTATCTTTTCTCCATCAATCAGACACTATATACCTTTTATGGAGATGGTGAACACCTAGTTTCCAACGAGGAAGTAAAAGAGAGGTCATGCTCCAGAAGTCTCGGTATGTTGGAGGACACGGAGGAGCCAGGGTTGGCCTGGTGGGTGGATTACTGGGCTTGCGTTTAAGAGACCCAGATTTAAGCCCTTGCATTACCTCCAGTGAATTCTTTAACCTGGGAGAAATCTCTATCCCTCTTAGTAATGGTTTCCTCATTTGACCATGAAAGGACTAGTCCAGGATCCCATCTGTTGGCCCCAGGTTAGGAACTCCTGATCCATGTGATCTAAAAATCTTTTGTAAGTCTGACATGCTATAAACCTAGAATGTCCGAAACCCCAGATTGCTTGCTCCCCGTGCGGTGGAAGCCAGCATTCAGGCAGTAGAAGTGTGTAAATAAAAGTGGTGCTAGTCATGTGGCGATAAATGAATTCTGAGCATTCCTGGCACACACTTGTCTTCTCTTTATGATTCCACAGTACTGCACCTCTGCTCATGTGTTTTCCAGGGGTATCCCCTTCTCTAGGAGGGCAGTCAAGTGACAGAGAACACCCTAGTTGCTGACGTATAGTGTCAGCCATTTGGGAGTTGGATCGAATTGAGTTAATTTGGATGAGCTGAGCTGAGGAAGCTCAGCTGGGGAAAAAAAGGTGGTTGACTTCTTCGGAGATAATCCCATTCCATGCCACCCAACTTTTCTTGTAGCTTTTTAGAGGGACTCATTATAGAGAATGAAGCTGGTGTGTAATTACCTTGCTGCTTTGGTGGTGGGAGGGTCGGGAAGCTGGGGGAAATGGTTCTAATTCTGTTTGGACTTTTTTCCCAGGAACTTTTAACTTGCTGTGAAGAGGGGAAGGGGGAGCTCAAGGATGGCCTGGAGGTGATGCTCAGTGTCCCAAAGAAAGCCAATGATGCCATGCATGTCAGCATGCTGGAAGGTAGCTGTCCTCTCGGCCTCCTCGGGGAGCCTCCTCCTTTCTTAAGACCAGAGAGCTTGTATCATGGGAGGGAGGTAGCATGAAGTCAGGCAAGGGGCAAGGCTGGAAGAGAGGAGAAATGGCAAGTTGTTTCATAGGTCCTTGGGCTGTGGGAGAGGAGCTACACGAGGTACAGTTCAGCTAACACCACCTCTAGGAATGACCCGGCCTAAGCCATCTCAGTATGTGGACACCTTGCTGCCTGTGAGGCAGTCTAGAAAAGGCCATCACCTTCATGGCGGGTTGCTGCAGCCCTGACGCTCAGCAGTCCTGTTCATCTGCAAAGCACTTGTGTGGCATTTGTCAGCAGAATAAGTAGAAACCCTGCGTGTGCGAGCACACATCTTCAGCCCTGTTCCCTTCTTTTCTTACTGTAGTAAAATTTACATAACCTGAAGTTTCCCATTAGGACCATTTTTAAGTGTACAGCTCAGTGGCATTAAGTATATTCTCACTGGCATGCAGCTACTCCTATGCCATTCCTAGAAGGTGAGATAAGTCCAACCAGCTAAACCTGATAGGACTTCACCGAAGGACATTCAGTCCACTGGAGCCCTGTCCTGTCTTGGGACCCAGAAACCTAGTAGAGTGAATTTAATGCTGCAAATCAAGTGTTTTCAATGCTGCAAGAGGAGATGAGCAGAGCAGCCATATTGGGGTGGAAGTTCTCACTGAGTTTGCTCATCCCTGTCAGGACTGGCAAACAGGTGTTGCAGGAGATAAGTATACTTTGTTGTAAGTATATAAACACGTAAACTCTTGTTTTTCATATAATAGCTGATGTTCTTTCCCCCATCATTCCACCTCCCATCTACAAAACTTAATCTGGTCTCAATACTACTAGGTTACCTTCAGCAAGAAAGCCCTGATTCTACACACAAAGGAGCCCTGGTTACCTTCTCCAGACTAAGCACTAACTATCTGAATACATTCCTTTGTCACAATTTCTGCACCCCTTTCTGTTATGTTTGCACCTACTCCCATCCCTGGGTGTACCCTTCTCCTCCAGCCTTACTCTGACCTGTAATCGGGATCCGGCTACTCTGGGTATGGTCTGTGGACCAGCAGCAGTAACATGAATGAGCTTGTCAGAAGTGCAAATCCATGGGCTCCACCCCACACCTACTCTGAATCCCAGTCTCTTGGGAGGTGAGTGGTGGGCAGCAGTCTGCGATCTCACAAGCCCTCTGGGTTATTCGTACCCACAGTAAAGTTCCAGAACCTCCGTTAAACATTTAAAGTGTTATAAACATAAACTCTTAAAGGTTTATGCATCACACAACATAAGAACAGTTGAAGGAAATTGTCCTGGGAATGCAATACGAGAAATAGAGACACTGCAAATAAAGTGGAATCAAGGGCATTCAATCCCTTAGTGTTTGTCCTCAGCCCCATGCTGAGCTCTGAGTCAGGGGTGCTGGGGAGCTGTGGGGTTCACCCTTGCAGGAGGTCCCAGACTGATAGTGGAACTGTGGGGAGGCTGCCCGGACCTTTGCAGGAGATCCCACCAGTACCGGTTGTGGGTGGGAGAGCCGGTGCAGGTAGGGGGATCTGATTACAGTTCCGAAGAGCTGTCTGATTGAGTGCTCAGGAGTCTCAGGGCCCAGCTGAGAGAGGGGGCTGAGGGTGCCAGGTTAGGGAAGCCTTTCTCTGAGAGGGGAGTGGAACATGGCACCGTGACTGTGGCCATAGGGTGGAAACGGGTGTTTTTCAGGGTTCGACGAGAACCTGGACGTGCAGGGAGAGCTGATTCTTCAGGATGCCTTTCAAGTGTGGGACCCGAAGTCGCTGATCCGGAAGGGGCGGGAGCGGCACCTGTTCCTCTTTGAGATCTCCTTGGTTTTTAGCAAGGAGATCAAAGACTCATCAGGACACACAAAATATGTTTACAAGAACAAGCTACTGGTAGGTTGGACAGGTGGGGTAGGACAAGACTCCCTGTTTTCATAGAGCCCTTGGGCAGGAAGGGACCTTGAACACTCAGCTCATCTCTCCCCCTGGCACCACACCAAAGCCATCCTGGACAAAAGAAAATGCCTTCTATTTGGAAAGCTCCCCTGTCAACTCCCACTTCTACATTTTGGAGTTCACAGTTCTTCCTCTTTGCTTTTAGCACCGCCCTCTTCACCTTCCCTCCCTGCTACCTGCTAACCAGGCACCAGCCTGTAGGTCCTTTCATCCTGGGTAGATGAACAAAATATCCAGTCTATTTGTTTGATTGACAGAAGCCCCTTCCTCGGTCCTCTCCTCTTTGTTGCCTTTCCCTTCCCACCCCAGCCCTAAGTTTCCCCACTGCCCTCCCCTTCCCCGCCTCTCACAGGCATTTCCTGTCTACAGACCTCAGAGCTGGGTGTGACCGAGCACGTAGAGGGGGATCCCTGCAAATTTGCCTTGTGGTCTGGGCGCACCCCATCCTCAGACAATAAAACCGTGCTGAAAGTAAGTACTGCTGTCTGCTGGGCACAAGACCAGGGCTAGGGGTAGATGGGTGTGGGCACCTGACACCTAAAAGCTGGGGCCAGGAGACTCCACAGAGCACTGGGCCTGTTTTGGAAAGGGCAGCATCGCATGGGTATTCAGAAGCAAATTCTGTCATCAAAGTGGACTCAACATCTCCAAGACGAGTGGTCTTCTAAGTCCATGCTCTTGTGTGAGCATAGAGTGAAGAAGTCAGGATGTGGCCTACTGGGCCTCCTCAACAGGGCCCAGTCACAGATGTTCTGTCCATACGTCCCCTTCAAGTGTCGAAGACAACAGTTGACCCTTTGACAAAAAGCACTTCAATTTGTTCCATATTAATTCAACTTTTTTTCCCTGAATACCTTGTACATATAAGGTATTCTGCTCAGTGCTGTAGAGGATAGTTATGTGTAAGTTATGGACCTATCCTCTGGGGATTTACATTCTAGAAGCCCTGTAAATTTTACTAGCACGGGAACAGTGCTGATGGAGAGGGATGTAAAGAAAGGGCCTTTCAACAGGCGATGGCCTTAAGGAGTCCTTTCAGCTCTGCAGAGTGTGCACAGCCTGGGGACTGAGTCGGTGCTCGTGGTAATGTTAGCCTCACTGAGGAGAGACCCTGTCTGCCCATGCAGTACCCACAGTCATTAGGGAAGTGCCCATTGCTGAATTGCCAACATAGCTGCTACCTGTCGTAAGACAGACTTACCCCCAAAAAGTTCCACAAAGACAAATGAGATTCATGGAATGGGAGTGATGCCTCCAATAAGCAGGTTTACAAAGCTAAAAACCCAATCAGCCATGTGAGGGGGTGAACATCCTGAGCTTTCTCCATACCAGTTGGTTATTAGCTGCTGCCTTCAAATGCCCATTTGCTGCCCCTCCTAGTGCTCCTCCCCACACCACCGCAGAATCAAGTAACTGAAGCATTTATCCCTGACCTTGGGGGACCTCCAGAAACTGCTCCAGCCCCAGGCAGAGCTCAGTATTGGCCAATACTTCACAGGTTATTAAATACTTTGAAGTCGCCCCTGTAGAAGTCTGCACTGCATTTGAGGTTATAGCTCTGCTCCAGGAGTTAGAGAAGCATGTCCCTGGGATTGCAGAGTCCTAAGTACATAATATGAGAAATAAGCTCCTCAGACATTTGATATCTTAAAACTAATGGGGGAAGCCTGCCAGAGGAGGGTTGAAAACTGTTTTGGTGGGATGAGGGGAGATGGGGTCCTGACTCTTCCTCCCTGTGGCACTCCAGGCCTCCAACATAGAAACCAAGCAGGAGTGGATCAAGAACATACGTGAGGTGATTCAAGAAAGGATCATTCACCTGAAAGGAGCTTTAAAGGAGCCCATTCAGCTCCCCAAAACACCAGCCAAACTGAGGAACAATAGTAAGAGGTAACCAGCGTCTCCTCCCAGTACTGCCTCACATGCTTCTGGGAGTGGGAGAGGGGTGAACCTTTGCTTCCATGGGGGCGGTGTGCTCTGCAGGTAGTACCCGCCTCCATGAACCCCACTGAGTGCTACCTAAGATGAGTTATCTCATCTTTAAGCATCCTACCAGTTACTGTCCATTCAATTCAGCACGGCTTTGTTGAGCACCTCATATTTGACACAAGCTCTGCAGGGTGCTACAAGAAGATAAAAAGGAAGTGTGAGATGAGTTCATTCCCTCCAGAATCACCTAAGTCATGTTTCACACATGAAACAGAGACACAAAGGAACCAGTACCAGTAGGACGGTGGGGAAGGCTTTAAGAAGAAGGTGGGCCGTGGGTGGGAAGCACTCGGGCCTGTCAGACAATGAAAGGGCTGTGCGTACTGTCATGCATGGGGGTTGGTCTGATGGAGTTGTCATTGCAACTCCACACCCCAAAAGTCCTCCCAGAAATGCAGTGGGATCAGGCACAAGAGGGCTTATTTTTTGTGTCTTTATTTCTCTGGGCCATTCGGAATCCCAGTTTCCCTTATACTGATGGATGACTTCTTACTCTTAAGTATTTCTTCTTTCTCAAGTCTCCATGTGACAGTCACCTACAATGACTCTTAGAGGGTACTTCAAAAGAAAGCATACATGAAGCATACATGAACATTCAAAAATCTTCATGTCAGTTTTGGGAAAAAAATAAAAAGCAGAGATCTGTCAGCGATGGTGGTAACGGGCTCTCCTCTCCTCCCCTGTTCATGAGTGGAATAAATCCAGAAGATTTATTGGACCCTTTGGCACCAACCAGGACATACAGGTTGGAGCACCACCACAGGGGCTGGGTAGCAGTCACACGGGTCCAGAGGGAGATGGTGGCTAAAAGGAGGGCGTAACTAAGCTGGAGAGAGATTACCTCCACCGGGCAAAAGCCCCAACACCTGCCTGGCCAGGATGTGGTCACATCTTTGTGTTGGAAGGACAAATTATGGCTGTATTGGGAAAAGGGTTATTTTTATTCCAGTTACCTATGTCCAGAGTCCAGGTAAGGGATAGACTTATTAAACACTAGAGACAGACCCTGTTGCAGGAAGGCCCTACATTAATAAGATAGAATGGGTCATAAAGAGCTGAATGTCCAGCACCATAGTGGGAATGGATATTCAGGTGGGGTTAGGTAGAGTTACCTTGAAAAAGAGCCTGTCTCTCCTAGGGTAGGAGAGCATCTCTAGAACATGGAGTGGGCATATCTTGGAAATGCCTCTCACGTTCTTTCTGTCCTTGTTCTGTGAAGAGACTGAGAAACCTCGTCCCACTCTGCGGAGAATAGCCAGGCAGTCTGTAATTTCATTAACTTGGCTTCCTGGATATGAGGACAGAGTTTATAAAGCATTGAATTGGCTTGGGGACTACTGCCCACACTCCTGGCTGGGCTCCCTACCTCCCCCAGCACTGGCTTCATCTGGAGGGCCCAGAAGGCCTGCAGCAGGCCGGAGTCGTGGGAGGCAGGAAGTGCAGCCAGTTATCCGCAGGTGGGGGAGCAGCGGCCCAGATACCTACAACAACAGATGATCTGAAAGCCCTTTATTTTTGGATTTGAAATGCATCACATAATTTTTTTACAGCAGATTTTTCTTTCTACAAATATGTGGCTTATGTTATTAAAATAAGTTGGCATTTACCAAGCCCACAGGGGTGGGACAGGGGGAGGGGTAAAAGAGCAGTTGACTTAGAAGTATTCCGGGTGGAATAAACACTTTTATGACTAGCAGACATTGTGTATACAGATGTGCAGCACATGTGTGCCCACATGCACACGCATGCTGACCTGCACTCACAATTGTCATTGTTTAGACTCTGTGACGCAGCTTCAGTATGTGGGTGTTTTGCCCGTGTGGTAATGGTCTCAGACAGCGAGTTCCCCTTCTTTCCTGATGCCCTAACTTCTCCGTAAGCAGCATCAGGTGTGTGACTTTCATAAAAGCCTCATGGAAAGAGCTGTCCTTCCCTGTGCTAACTCAGCCGACCTCTGGCCCACACCTCCTCTAGTTTTCATTTGATACAAACCATTTAGCCTTCACCAGTTCCCAGGCATTTAATCCCCATTGGCCTGGTTGTGGGTTCAGTGAAGGATTGGGACACAGTTCCAAAGCTGGAGAGATAAAGGAACATGTGGGACAGGTGGGGCAGCTTTATGGTCCAGGAGACCAGGAAGGGGTCCGAAGGGCAGGGTGCACTTGGGAGACCGTGTTATCAGACGCTGAGGAACACAGCTGCTGTGGAATCTGCCACTGTTCTCCTATCTTTGAGAAGATGCCTTAGCCTCCTGTGTTTACAAGAAGTCATCACAAATAAATACAAGTTCAACAATGCCCATCAAAGTGAAGGCAGCGAATTCCTCCTCCACACCCAGGAGTTGAGGGTTGAATATCAGGAACTTCTCAAAGATAATCTCCCCTTGAGGAAATATTCCAGAGCAGACAAAGCACAGGTCAAAAAAATATGGGTTCTGTTTTCTTTACAGGCCAGCTATAAACCAAACGCCATCCTGTTATAAGATGCAAAAAAACCGACCCAGTCTGATGGATAGAAGCCTAGGTCTAAGTAGGATATACCTCTTCCTACTGCCTAATACAAACCTATGCCCAGTAAAAATGCCTCTTCTGCACCATGGGCTAGAGGAATTTGGGAGAAGAACTGATTTTGTGTTCCATTGTCGACAGAGTGATTATGTGTTTACTAAGCACAAGAGGTTATGTCATTGAAAATCACACAGGGCTGCTCCTTTAGTGGGATCATTTTAGACAAATCCTTGCTAGAAATTTCTGAGGCTCTGCTCTGCCAGCCCAGCTGGAAATCCTGTGTGCTCTAAACCCACAGTGCTTCCCCCTACCCCCACCCCTGTTTTTTTTCCTCTTCTTCCTGCAGGGATGGAGTGGAGGATGTTGACAGCCAGGGGGACGGGAGCAGCCAGCCGGATACCATCTCCATCGCCTCGAGGACCTCTCAGAACACAGTGGACAGTGACAAGGTAGGACAGTGCCCCAACCTTCCTTCCTCTAAGACTTGTTGGCTTACCCACCCATGAAGAGTAACCCCCCCCACCCAAATTTCTCCCATTATGGAGCCTGACCTCAGGAGCCAGTTGTCTCTTTGTGGGGCTGAAGGAGGTATGTCACATGCGGAGGGCTTGTCTGAGGGGAGACTCTCATGTTGTGAGAGTTCAACAGAAGTGGCGAGGGTGAAAAGCAAGAGTCTCGAAATCTCCTCTCCTGCTGAGGTGCCCCAGCTGGGCTGCTTGGGCTGCTCTGCCTCTGAGAGGCTGGAACTCGGGGAGCTGAGGCTGGGCTAGTTTCCTGAGACCTTAGTGGCTGTGACTGGCTCATATTTAGAATGATTTGAAGGGACTCATCTCAAAGTTAGACCAAGACCAATGATTTGGGCAATGGCCACAGAGATGCTGGTTGGTGGGAGCCCCCTATCTAAAGGGGCTCCCATGGGAATGATGATTTCTTCCTCTGGTCAGATATCGGGCTCAGTTCCTAAGAGGCAGAGGACCAGGAGGTGGTGTGTGAAGCAACATGTAGGGATGTAGTAGTCTTGGGAGAAAGCCTGGTCACTTCCTTTCTTACATTTTGGAGCAAATAAAAGTTAGTAGCTCTCATGGGAAGCAGGAGAAAGGAGACTGTAGGCAAGACTCAGTGCATTGGCTGAAGTGAGAGGAAGGATTCAACTCTCTGAATTTGTAGCAGGGACATGCAAGGTTTTATCTCTGACTCCACTCTCCTTCCTTTACCTCAGGGTTAGAGGAGTATGAGATGCTCTTTTGCTGCATATTAGTGATTTTATTGAAGAAGGTCTGGATTTGCAAGGATTGGCTGGCCCTAGTTTATCTAGACCTAGTATTTTGGGTTAGTCCTCAGGCCTCAGTTGGCAGGCTGTGTCCCTGCTTCCTTTTAGGGTTCTGAGTTATGGGTGTTTTTTAAAGATGATCTGCATTCATTAGGATTTTTCCTTATTTTTTTTCTCACTGGGAAAAAAGACTATGCCCCCAATCCTGAGATCATGGTGCTAAACCACTCTCTGTGGTAGTGTTGAAGGGCATTCAAAGTCATTCTATCTGACATCCTGCCTTCAAGTTACCAAGCCATTTTGACTATCAGAGTGAATGGAAAATTGTTTTTTTTACCACTTGTAAAAACATATAAGGAAAACTATTTCTGTACTTTCCTTTTCCCCTCTGATGTGTTGTTTAGAAATACAGCCTAGAATATCCTATGAATGAAAGTGCTTCTTTTTAAATAGTCAGTGGGTGGTAAGTGAAGTGCAGTGTTTCTCATGTCAGACGTAGCCTGTTAGTTTCACGGTCCAGGCAACCCAGCCCTTCCCACTGCTGCTCTGTCCTCCCCGCAGCCCAGACTCGCCCAGACCCCTTGGTAGAGCTCTTTGTCCTAGGAAGCCATGGGCTGCAGCCATGCCTTGCCTCCTGGCGAGGCAGGTGAGGCTAAGTGAGAATACCTCTGACAGCAGCACTTCATTGTTTATGAAGAATTCTGGTGCCTGCAGAGGCCTTACTCTTCTATTAAGTCAGGAAACCAAGGCCCAGAAAGACAGAGTGACTTGCCCAAGAAACTTTTACTAGTTAGTGAAAAAGCAGAAACTAGAACCCAGATCTTCCCAATTCATGGTCCCCCCCCTGCCACTCTAAAAGTCACAGCATCAAACTCCCGGTGCTCAGATCATCTCAGCTGTTCGATCTTTGCACACACTCCACGAAACCGTTGGTCACTTATTGATGGAAAAGCACCTGCCGCGTGCCGAGCTCTGTGCCGGGTACTGTAGAGAAATGTGCAGTATTTGTTGAGTGTGAATCCTTATTTGTGCAATCTTTGTGTCATGTGTGTCTCTACAGCCAGGCCGTTAAGCCCCGATGAGGGCATCATTTATGTCTGTGTGTTGCACTGCTGTCCCCCTGGCACGGGGCACACCCAGGCGATCTGGAAGGGCAGGAGTGATTCACGGAGGGACGTAGACCCTGATCTCAGGGAACTCCACCATTAAAAGGCAGCTTAAACTGGCAGTCTGAAAAGCCGCCAAACACACAAACATTGTGTTTTTAAATATGCTGAAGAAGCCTAGGAATTTCTGTGCCTACAAACAGAAAGCTTTAGTCAGCTGGGGAACCTGGTCTGTTAGGAACATTGCCCTGAAACACCTTCTCAAACCTTGGGAAACATGGCCAGTGGGTTGGAAGATGCCTAGAGAGTCTGTGTTCCATACACAAGACCTGGAAAGCCGTTCAGAAAGTCACACGTTCAGAATGAAGCAGGGTGCTTGTCGGTGACCATGCACTGTAGTTTAGAATGTTCTTCTCTAACACAGAAGAGTGATAACAAAGGAGCCACATGTCCTTGACCTGCACTCCCCTTCATCAGAGGAACCATTCATTGCTATCTGTGAATTCTCCCCCAACTAGACCAGAAGGCCAGGAAACTGGTCTCCATTGGTTTCCAAGTGGTCTGGTAAACAGACCCGGAAGTAGAAAAAGATAACAAAGTGGATTGATTCAGCTAAACTGAACCATATTCAACAGAAGGGCAAACTCCGGAGGCTGTGGACAGGGGATGGGCAGAGGCACCTCGCAGGGATCGGGGTCCTTTACCAGTGGGTTTCTAGGAAAGGCCCCCATCTTCCTCTTCTAATCCAGAGCAGTTAGAGCAGTGGTACTACTGGGCTGGGTGGATGAGGAAAGTGTAACCATTAAAAGGGCCACGACAGGCCAATCTGAGTGCCTGCGGAGCCCTGTGTCACCTTTCTAATAACCCTGCATGCATTATATGTGCTATGGTGGGGAGGAAGGAGTCTGGACAAACCTGGGTTCAAATCCCAGCTCCGGCACTTACTCTCTGTGTCTTGTTGCATGAATTATTGTGCCTTAATTTCCCTACCTGCAAAGCAAAAATAATGCCCACCTCACTCAGGCACTGGGAAGATTAAGTTAAATACATTTACTTGGCATCTGTTAGACATTCAGTAAATGTTCATTTCCCAGCCTTATTACAGTAGAGACAAAAGTTTAGATACTGTGAGTAATTATTTAGTAGACTGAGGGCCATCGAAAGTTCTTGAGTGGAGTCCTGTCCTCTGGGTTCATCCTAATTAATTATCTGCAGAATCTTTTCCACATCAGGCCCAAAGAGTTATAGCTTCGGTTTTCCTGTCTATACACAGAATGGCCTTATTCCTCTTTCCCCTGGCTGGCCATTAGTATCTAAGACTTAGATATTTGTGGTTGCATGGGCTTGTGGGTTATTTTTTTATTATTTAATGGATTAAATGTATTGCTGTCAGATATTCATTTTAATCCTCAAACTGTACCATCTTTGGCCAGTTGTAACCTGTAAGGCTTTATATATGTGAAGACAGTTGTCTTTAATCTTCTCTGTTTAGGTTGGAGGTCCTCAGTTTTGCCAGTTGTTCCTTATATGAACATATCGGCAGAGCCCTCCATATTCTAGTTGCCTTCTTCTGGATTGACTTCAGTATGTAATGATCTGTATAAAACGGGGCATCCAGAGGGTACGCAGTACTGCAGATGTGACCTAACAAATGCGAATTCAGCTTCTGGTTCTAGGGCTGCTCTGCCTAGTCTCCCTGAGGTGGTCGGTCCCCCATGTCCAGGAAGGATGGACACTGTTGCTCATAAAATCTCCAACCTGTTTTCATGGACCACCCTTAGTTGGGAGGGTGACTCAGTAAGCTGAGTGTTGGACTACTTTATGTCTATTAGATTTTTCTTATTGGATTACCAATATTCCAGCATGTTTTGAATATAAAGTATTTGTCCAGTATATCAACTATATCTCTGAGCATTATTGGATAAATGTACCTTATGTGGCTTTATCCAAATTCTTGCTAAAAAGACAAGATTGAGGACAGAAGGCCAGTGCCCGAACCCCCCTCATTTCTCAACCACATTTGCGCACTTGGAACCTTCTGTGTCAGACTCTTCTCTCTAAAAAATGAAACTCCCCCACTTTGCTCTGTAGCAGGAAATCTGGGGTTGCTTACTTAAGTTATAAATCTTCCCTTGATGAGGAATCAATTAATATTCTTAATTTTGCATTAATTGCTGACTAAGCCAACATGGCTACCTCCATAAATGACATTAATAACTTTCCCCCAATTTTCTTCTATTCAATTTGCAAATAGCCTACATAATTAGGTTCTACCTTACGCCTGCCCCATGCAAGTGTTGTCTCCCTGGAGGCAAATGGGTGTGCTTACGTTGTTCTGTATTGGTCTGAGCTCCTTTCTACTTTGGCCAGTAATATGCTCATGTTACTCTGGCCATCCCACTGTGAAGAGTCTTTCGTCTATAGGTTTATTATTAATTGATGGGGCTTTGCAACCACACTTCAAAGAAATACAAAATTATAGAATTCTGGTCAAGTGAGGCTGAGTAATGAGGTGGCAGTAAAGAAGTATCTTATTGTTTAACATGATGGATGTCTCCCACATCATTTCCAGCTAATGGGACAGAAGTGCACTGTGATGGCCCCTATGCATTGTATTTACATTTAGTCTAGGCATGCTGGGATGCTCCCTAAATGCTTATTGAATTACACATTACACGTGCATCCTAGTAGGGATACTGTCCATGCAAATATCACCATGAATTTCTGGACATGTCCAAGGTGGCTGAAGTAGGGAAATTAAAGTGAAAATGAGTTGAAGATGCTATTCCTTACAAAATTTGTAAGAGAGAGAGCATTGCTGGAACATGATTATAATTTGAATGAGGAATGCCAGTGACAAGCTAATGTGATCTAAGATGCAAGATGGGCTGATAATGGCAGTGAGCTGAAGCGGGAGAGGGAAGTGGCTGAGAACCTGGAGATTTTAAGATCTAACTCAGTAATATTGTTAAAATTCTGGCCTGTCAAATTAATGGAGTGGGTCATGACCAAAATTTTGTTTTACTGATTGGGAGTGAGGGCCGTGTTTAGAGGTGATGAGGGTTCAATTAGG